AAAGACATTTTTAGTGCCCCACATATAAAATCCATGCTGCGGTTTCTCTGAACCGCTCTGAGGTGTTTGACTGATCGTGACAGAACTCTTGTGTTTGTTGCACGGTTCTGTACTGACGGTGTTCCACTGGGTTCAGCTCTGGGTTCTTTACAGTTTTAATTCTTTATTGATAATATTGTTAAATGTTTAACCAGCATGTTTGCATCTTATATGAAAAGGTTGTTCATCCAAAGGCGTGATGGACGTGTACCTGCTACCTGTAAGGCCCTCGCTGAGAAGCTGCCATCTTGCTTCGCCTCGACACTGACTGATGCTCCAGACTGTTTCCACCTCAAGTCTTTGCCAAGTTTGGAGGATCTGCTTTCAGTGTCATGCATCGACAACCTGAAACTCTTTACAAGCATCATCAAAGTAATTAACCCCAATGAGCTAAATTCAGGATAACGAACCATCTGGCTCTAACTGGTTAGCTTCTCGTGCTTTTAGCTTGTGTGTTAGTTAACCTTGTACATTGTTCTAGACGGTTTTCTTGTACCGTGCACGTCTATAATTTGTTAAATCATTTTAAATTGTTGTGCAGCACCATTAAAGTAAGAGCTGACAACCGCTTTATGGCTCAAATGGTCATTAGGATGAAACCACCTCTCTGGAGAAGCTGACGAACTTCCCTGTTTCCTCTTTTAATGATGTGTTTTTATAAATGTTTTTTGTATGACATGTGACTGTCTGTTAAACTGCTGCTCCAGGCCTGTGCTGCTGTGGGACTTCCCATGATGCACTGGGCACCTTTCCTCTGCTCTCCATACATTTAACCAACGCTGTCACTGTGTGTTTTCTGACACGGTCGGTTTTTATCCTCCACAGCGACATGAGGCTGCAGAGCTAAACATTCCTGACCTAAAGCTACCGGCCTCACCAACCTCTCAGGTGTGTGTTCTGTCTCCCCTTCACCCAAACCAGGCAGACGTCCACCTCCCCCGACCCGGGTTCTGGTTCTGCTGCCAGTCTTACTGTTCTCTTAAAACTCTGAAGCGCTGTGAATTGGTGCTTCATAAATAAAACTGAACTGAGCTGAATGAGGAGTTTAACGACTCCACAGCTTCCCTTCGTTTGCTGTTTTGTTGCCACGAATGGTTTCATATTTTAGTCTGAAGGCAGAACGATGGAGGAAAGACGTCAGACAGTCGTGTGAACTTTGCACTTTTATTTTTTTGCAAATACACTAGAAATGTTTACAAAAGCACTGTAGAAACATCTGTGCAGTGTAAATTATCAAAACTAAAAATGAATATTACTTTGAAATCATTTTGCACCTAACATGACAAAGAAGATTGTCATTTTCAGCAGCAAAACAAATTAGTACATCTCATAAGGAAACATCTGTTAGTGACCTCAGGGTGTTGAAATGGGGCAGACGTGTTGTTACCGAGAGCAAGTCAAAGAAAAATAATAGTAATAATAATAATGACACAAAGGATGGTATGGCACTAGTGCTCATCCCTGAAGGAGGGCTTCATTCATCTACATACGCTTTACTCAGTCAAGATCGTCAGCCTTCCAGTAAATCACTCCAGTTCCACAGAAAAACGCTGCTTTGCTCCACAAACACAAATTCTCATTGAACACAAACACCCAAAACCTAAACCACTCACCATCACTCTGACAGACTCTGTACAGGACTTGTTCCCAGTGTGACATACTGGTCCATCTTTTGTAGTTTCAGTGTGAAAAAAATTGAAATGATAGACGATGAAATGTGCTGAATATTACAGAATAAACGACTAAATCAGTCCACAGGAGAAAAAGGAAAATACTCCTAAACAAGAAATCAGGGAGAACAACAACATAAATATCGCGTGGCCCCTTATAAAACATCCACAGCTTATTTTACACACCTCTGTATTGCTTTGTCTTACATAATACTGAGATTTCTTCTGCTCACAAAGAGCATTGATTACTTTTGTTTGCTTTGCACTGGGTGACAAAAAAAGGAAAGAAAAAGCAATACCATCCAACGTCTCATTTTTCTTCTTGGTGTTTTCGCCTCGACGTGAAAGGCACAAACACACTCACACAACACTGCTGCTAATACTTCATGTAAGCGGTGGCACCATGTCGTTTGGAAAAGAAAAAGGTAGGCGGTGGTTCCTGTGGCGCGGCCGCTATCGCAGAGCAAACACGGCGCCGGGGGGCAGATCTACGCGGTTATCTTTGGTCGAGCAGGGACGAGCCAATGGGCTTGAAGGATGGGACTCAAAGGTCAGCGTAGTAGAGAGCGGACAGGAGTGATGGCTCAGGTGTTTGAACAGCAACACACACACACACACACACGACGCTCACGAGGAAGGGTCGAGTGGAGATATTTAAAAAGGTGAATAACGATGAACTGTGAGTTTGCACAAGGCGCTGGTCACGGGCGTTCGGTGGAATCAAAAGGCCTTTAGTGAATTGATTTTGCTTCGGAGGAAGAGTTCAACATTGTTGGAGCTATTTGCTTTGTGGCTAAAGGAATATGGAGACCACTTGGCTTCTGTCCAGACAGTTAGCTTAGCTTAGCACACAGGCCGGGAGCGTTGATGCGGAGGAATCCTGCCGCCTTTTGAAATGTGCAGAAACTGAAATGTTTGCCAGTTATCTGTCAGTGCAGTAACTGTCAGAGCCTGAATTGAGCTCTTTGGTTTTTGTACAGAGTAAAAACAACCAAGATGTTACGTGAAATGTCCTGAACCGTAGAGGTGCTGCTGGAGTGACTGTTTAATGAGCCAGGTGAGCCAGGTGAGCCGCCTCCTCGTTTCCAGGCTTTGGGTGAAGCTAGGCCTCAGCGGACAGAGTGGCGTCTGACATTCCACCAACAAAGCAAATAAGCATCTTTTCCAAACCGATGCGTTCAAGGACTCTCCACCACAGTGTTTCTAAACCCACAGTCAGACTTGTGGCACCGGGTCTGGATGGTGCCGAAGCGGCTCGCCCCCGTTTGGGCACCTTCAGCGAACGGTCAAGTCTACGAACCCCAAGAATAAAAAACCCCAACGACACGCGTGATATGCTCAGGTCGCCCGCTAATAAAGGAATGAGAGTGATATCTTTACAAAAAACTGTAACCGCAAAGTCCAACGAATGGCAGCAGGCGTCGGGCTCGTATCTTGTGCTCAGGTGTCAGAGGGTCGGCAACACAAAAAGCCTCCGTGGGCCAACCTGGAACCGAGCACGCTGTGGTGAATACAAACACAAGTCCACCGGCTATGGCATTTTGTAGCAGCAATAACAAATACAAAAGTATATCAAAAGAAGACACTCCATGTGCTGAAAAGCAACGAACACAGAGGCAGGATGTCTGCTGTCCCATCGCAGCAGCATCCCTCACAAGCAACACGAGGCAGGACAAAGCGCTGAAATGTCATGAACACATGGACCACCTGCATCGAAACAAACAGTAACAACAAAAACAACAACAATGAAAGTACACAGGGCACAAGTTCCAGGCAAAGTGCAGGGAAGGTTCCACGTCGACAGTATTATGGCCTTAAATTCACTTCCCACCACCGGCGGGCTTTGATGAGACAAATGTGGCGGACAGAGAGCTTCAACACAACGTAAGACAAACAGTGATTCAAGTGCTGTGTGCTGAGTTCGCCTGAATGCCTACAGCTCCTTGGCAAACCGAATGACTGCACAGCGGCGGGAGGCCGACGGGGCTCCCGCTGGGGTTCAGAGGCCACGGCACTCGACAGTGTCTTTGACAGATCAGCTGTAAATGTTTGATATATAATACAGGACACAAAAAGAACACCTGGTAGCCTTGTGTGAGGACTGGTTTTAGCAATCCAAGTTGTGCTTTCTCTAATACGTAACAGTGTAGACGTGACGGAGCGGCGACACCAGAGCACAGCTAGTGTCTTCAGCACATGGAGCAGGACTGCTTGCTGGATTTGGTCGGAGGTATCTCAACAGTTCCCCTTTACGTATGTACAGCCAGAGAGCTCCAGCTTGTCTGACCAATGCATGAACACTGAACCATTTAAGGCAGAAAGCAGGTTCAAGTCTCCCTTGTAAGTTCTGCGGGTGTTTTTTTTTTTTGTTTTTAAATCTTCCTTTTTGTTTCGTGATGAAGCCTAAAAGGTGCAACTTGTCGAACGATTTCACAGCTAACGAGTCGTCCGCTCACCTACAGAGAAGTTTGTAATGTTAACTAGTGTTTTAGACAGAAAACCAAAGGGCCAGTTCAGGAGGAGGAGGGCATCAAATTCACGAGTACTTCAGGTGTCACTGGGACAAACAGCGACCTGAGAACAGGACGCTGAGTGTGAGATAAAAGGTGCACACGTTTACTAACCGTTACTGGAAGTGTGATGATGTGTTCATGTGCGCGAGTTCATCTCAGGAAAAAAGGCAAAATGCTATAAATAGTTTGGCTCAGTCTGTTTTTTTTCTCCTTTCTTTTACAAAAGTTTTGTTAACAAAAGCGTCCGACCCGCTGAGCCCAGAGCTCAGTCCTAACGTCTACAGGGGCTGTTCTAATCTACCGGCTGTCTCCTCACCATGGAGAGCAAAGAGCCGGAACACGACCGAAACGCCCGCCGCTGTTCACCAGGATGCTCTCTGGTTAGTTTGGAGTCTGCTCTGAAGATCATGCATCCGTGTGCAGCAGCGACGCCTACGCTACCGTGTTCCCCTCACAAGAATACTACGGAAAAAAGGCTTGTCCTGGCCGAGGCCGCCGTAAAGAGTCCCTCCGTGTTCGGGCCCGACCAGGACGGAAATGAGGGTTAGAGTGTGGGGGTGGGTTGTGTTGCAGTACTGCAGGCAGTGAGGGCCATGCTCAGCAGCTAGAGAGGAGGAGGACAGACAGTCATAAGAGGGCTCGGCAGAGGAGCAATGTCTTTGTTGGCTAAACAGTTGCTGGGGTTTGTGTCCCACCGCTTTCCCCAACCCCCCCAATTAAGTGAAAATGAGCCCAGCGTGAACTCCCCCCCGCGGTAATGTAACACCCCTGTGCTGCTCCTCGGCCCCCTTCCTGAGCTCCACGCTCGGAGACGGGGGTCCTCGATCAACACTTCTGCGCCTCCACCGGAGACATGGCGATGTAGGAGCCGTTCCTCATCGGCTGGTTGGCCGGCGTTTCCGACGGCTCGTCTGTTTTGTCGCTGACCTGAGTGTAGGCCGTGTCTTCTTTCGCCGTCTGGGCGGGAAGAGCGAGGAGGAAAGAGGACGTCAGCGTGAACCACAGAAGTGGAAACGTGTCCCAACACTGTTTAATGCTCAACACTGAAATGGGATAAATGTTCTGACTGAAATGTTCACAGTAAACCACTAACAATCCAAATATGCACCAGTTACCACAAAAACCACCACAGGAAACTTAAAAAGGACCCAATTACACTGTGAGGCGAGAACTCAAACAGAACATGACGTCCCATAGAGATAATTAAAATGATAACAAATAAGAGATGATGGATAACAAATTAAAAAGGAGAATAGAAAACAAGGCAAAACTGAAGACTTACAGCAAAAGAATGAAAAGCTTCAGTAAAATCAATACGTTTTACTTCATTCTAAAACAGAAAAGGAAAAAAGGGGGGTTACAGAAAATTAAAATTAGAACATGGTTAATACAACACTTCTTCACATTGCAATTAAGCACGACTGTCACATTCTCTCAATGCTAAGCTAACGGTCTAAACTTCTCTCTATGTATGTTTGGGAAGCTTTCTTTGGAGAATTAGACGAGGAGATCGACGCCACTGCTGCTGAAGTCAGCCGCTGGTTAGCCTAGCTTAGCATCCAGCCTGGACACAGGAGCTAGCAGCTAGCCTAGCTCCGGCCAAAGCGCCTACAGAGCTCACTGATGGTTCTGGGTCCTAACCAGGAAAAAGCTGCTCTAAAGGTACCATAGAGACAGAAACTGTAAAATCTGAAATAATTGTTAGATTTCGAACTTTCCAACGGCTCCTGAAGTAACCGTCTGTGAGTTTCTAAAGCAAAGCCTCAAACGGTGGCATTTAAGTTAAATTCCTTTAATCTGCATGTCTCATTTAAACAATAAGATTCTGTAAAACACTAAAAGTTCTTCTCTGGTCACGTCTCAGGACAAGTGAGAAGCCGTCAGTGACTCAGCGACGGTGATCTGTACGGAAATGATGAAGCAGTCAAACATCTTTAGGTGTTATTTGTCCTGTACAGGTAACACCTGTGGGCACCTGGGCAACAGTTCTGCATGTTGATTCTGGGATTTTTAAAGATTTATAAGTAATAAAAGAACAGGATGACGACCGCGTCACACTCCACAGACACGAGGTGAATCCGTACAAAAGCCAAACTAGAAAGTGCTGGTAGGCGGGTTCTGCTGGGCAGAGCCAGGCCAGCGTCTGGTTCCAGTCTTTCTGCTAAGCTAACTGTCTCTTGGTTTCACATTCAGCATAAAGACACCAGACTGGCATCGATCTCCTCATTCAACTCTCAGCAAAACGAGGTAGAACTTTCCCCGAGCATCTAGCTCCTCCTTTCACATCCTCCCTCTGCTCGCTGAGCAACTGAACTACAATAATCTGAGAGCGCTGAGGTCAGGGTTCAAACACACAATCCTGCGCTTGTGGAGATAAGAGGGGACATGTGCTGCACATCGCTCTCAGGTTATTCCAGTTCAGCGACCTGCAGCTCGACCAGCTCGCCGACAGGAAACAGGAAACTAACACACTTCTTATTCCTGAATTCATCAAAGATGCATCGACTGTTAGAAAACATTCAGCGAGAAAAAAACACCACTTGATCCAGAATTGTGGGAAACTGCTCATGCTGGCTTTGCTGCACAGTGTTAGTGAACATGCGCGTAGCTTTGGGTTAAACCTGCAGCTGCTCAGTGAAGTGGATGCAGGAAACTGTTAAAACATGCAAAAACCCAGTCAACACATGAACCCTCTGGCATGTACTGTGACTACAGTCTACCACCTCTGCACTGTGAGCTAATGTCAGTGGCTAGCACACACCAAAGTGACTGCGTGGATTATTTGTCTACGGTTTAGTCCACAGCAGCGGCGGCGGCGGCGCCTACCTTCTTCTGGCGGTTTCGGCAGAACAAGACGACGAGCACCAGCAGCAGGATGATGCCCATTCCCACGATGAGAAGGGGGAAGTTGGACACCAGAGTCACGATGAGGAGCAGCGTCCTCATCTGTGCTGCTGAGTCATCGTCGATAGTCGCCGTCTGGGGACAGGAAAGACGCCAGCGTTGATTCGGGGGTTCACGTTCGGTTATTGCAACAGGAGTGTGTTAAAAAGGGGAGAGAGCCTCACCTCATTGACGAACATGATGGGGAAAATGGTCTCGTTGATGTGCTTGGTTTTGCTGAGGGGCAGAAAAAAGAGGAGTCGGGGAGGTCAGGGAGGACATCTGGCTCAACATGTGGCCGGGACACGAATGTGGCAACAGCGAAGTGGGTTAGAGTTCAACAAAGCTGGACTTACGGGAAGCCTGTGACCCTCTTCATGATGATATTGAGCTGCGCTCTCTTGCAGGCCCGAATGGGAACCCCCGTGGTCTGCAGGACATTAAACAACGAAGACGTTTCTTTATTTTACTCTCATGAAAAGTCCAAGCACCAACGTCTAGCTGCATGATTTCATTTACATCTAGAGAAGCTTGAGCTGGTTTAAGAAACAAACCCTCTGTAACCGGGATGATGATCAGAAGATTAGGAAGCGACAGTTTCCGTCTTTGTTGTTTCGCCGTAGATGTGAGTGAAGACGTACGATGCATGAGTGTGTTTACACACCGATTAAACGTCTAAGAGCGTCGGCATCACACATCCTGAACTGCTCCATAAACAGTCGTACCTCTGAATTCATCGTTAGTTCTGCACTATGTTACATGAACGTTTGATTAACTGCATAGAAACATATCCGTGTTTATATGTGACGTGTGACTGTTTTTGGTCGTCTGTGTTTTTCTTTTTCCTTCTTTAATCTGTTGGTATATATGTTCACATATGCACACACACTTAACATCTACCTTCTGTTTTTTATTGTTTGTAAAAATCATAGAAAGACTCTAATGAGAACTTCAAAGTCCAGAACACGGACAGAGAAGCACCAGTTTTAATTCGTTTAATGTTGGACTGATGACTAAAGTACGTCATAATTCTTGATTTTTCTATTTTTACTCCTGAATACGTTTGTTTTTTCTCTTTTCTACCATTTTAAATGCGTTCTGTGTCATTTTGAGCGCTCAGCAGCAGTCGACTTTATGAGCTCTACAAACGTAGCCTAATAAAGAAATAAAATGCAGACAAACCGGCTGCTATCTAAAAGCAGCTGTTGTCCTGTGTGCTGATGCAGAGCGTTCGTCATACCGGCTGCAGGTCCAGGTACGTCTCGTGCTCCTCCTTGTTGGGGTTGAGCCCGTCCACGGCGTTGATGTAAGCCGGGTCGGCCTGGTAGAAGTGTGGGAAGGACACCACGATGGGAGCGCCTTGAAGGAAACAAGTCAAACAGACCGAGTCACGTTTGCGTCCCGAGATGACCGAGCGTTTGAGCGACAAGGTTCAGGAAGAGATTAGAGAGGAAACGTGAGATAAGACACGACACCGAGGAGAGATATGGACCTATCTGTCATTGATAAAGTGCAGCTGATTGTCCAAAGAATGTGCGTTTCAGGTTTTATTAGTCGATGCAGTAAAGACAGGAAAAGGTTTCCTCTGGCTACGAAACCTTAAACCTTTTAAAAGGCAAATAAGAATCAGTCCCTCAGTGAAGTCATGTCGGCGCTCCAGAAATAAAAAAGGAAAACGTAGGATACATAAAAAAATTAACTAAAAAGCAAACTTGTTCATTACCTGCAGCTTGTTAACAGATTATATTCAAACAACAAAACCCAGAAGTCGCTGCACAGCTGCTAATTAAAGACTCAATCTAATTCATCATAAACATCAACATGACCAGAAACTAATGAGCTCTTCAGCAAAGACTTTCTATCACAGCTAATCGATTAACTGCTGAGTCCACGACACGCCGCAAACTGAGAATAAATTCTGCCAACAGGAGCTCAGAGCCAGAAGGTGACGTCTTCAAACCGCTTCACCACAAAGCAGCTCATCGGCGCTCAGAGGGACCAGAAGTAGACCTGAAACCGCTATTTGATCATTAAAATCTGGTTTCTTAGTGCATGAGAAGCACCTACATGATAAAAATCACAGGTTTAATGTTTAACAGCACATCTTTAGCTGCATCTACAACAATAAAGTCCAAATGCTGTTTTAACAGAAAACACTAAAACCTGAATCAGTTTAGTTCTTTGTGGATTATTACTAATCAGATTTAAACATACTGAATACAAAAGTACTGCTGCTGAAACTCACACAAAACAAGACATTACAAGCCCGGATATTTTTTTTTTTTGAGCTGTTTTTGTGTTCGAGCCGTGACAGCAGATGTGGAGACATCAAGATGATTTTCATAATTTTCCTTTGTGGTAAAAGCTATTTTTAAAACCCTCAGACGCAGCTCATTTCAGAATGACACCACTTCTCACGTGACCACAGGGCTCGATGCTGATTGGCTGCCAGCCAGGCATCACATCGTGTCGCCCATGAGGTGCGTTGGCCTCATATGAATCAGAGGAAGTGATGCTGTCAGCCAATCAGGTTTGATTACGGTGAGTTCAAACAGCAGACAGCCGTTTGTGAAGTTCTGGGTGTTGGTTGTTTCACCGCAGCTGGAACGTAGCGGCGAGAACAGCAGCACGGGAACTTCAACAAGCCGCGGCGACGGCACCGTATCATTCACAGACACTAAACGTCTCCATGTGTCAGAGCCGGTGGAGATCCCTTATCAGAGCGATCCTCCTCCACTCAGCGACCGACCGTAGAACACCTGAACCACCTCCACACACAGCAGCGCCGTTAATCATTGAGCCGCTGTTGATAAAAGCCGTCAGAGCCCAGCCGGGCCGCGGTGGCTGACCGGCAGGACGCTTTAGGGCCAGGAAGAGGGGGAACTGGGTCATGGGGCTGGTTGGAGAGGAGGTGGTGGGTAACTGGGTCAGGCTCTGATCACCAGAGGAGGTGGGCAGGGACGGTACCGAGCCCTGGTATCAAACTGGATTCATAAGCTCGTTAACGGTTCTGCTAACGGTGCTTCAGAAAGTAAGAAGAGCGACGGGCTGCACGATGCACTTTGGCTCCACAGCGGAGTTCTGTCTGTCAGAGTTCTAACGGACAGAACTCCAGGTGTGTTGGTGTCTGAGCAGCTGTCGCTCACCTGTGCAGCACCAACAGGTGCCCAACATCATAGAGTACGATTAACCTTCACGACAGAAAGTGTCTGTCTGTGCATCAGAGCAGAAACACGATCAGTCTGTGGAAACCTTCAGGAAATGTTCATCTCACACCTGGACAGATGTTGGACTGCTGAGCCGGTAGGTAACCGGGAACCAACTAAACCACACAAACACAGGCTACTGATTAAAAGCTAGTCTTCACTGACCAGGTGTTGGACCTGCGGCGGCTAAACGTTCAGTGTGAATGTTATGATCTCAGCTTCCCTCTCGGAGCTCAGAGCAGCAGCTTTCAGGGCGACAGACAAACTGACTTTCACGGTTCCTCTGATTCAATGTTGACGTTCGTGCTAGAAGAAGAACTTTAACTGTATTTTCACTAAACTATAAAAGTCCTGCATTGATTTTACAGTCAGAAGTGAAGCTGGTTTTCTCAGCGCAGCGTCCTGACATTCACCTGATACCTGCTGATGGCTTCAGTCCTGATGCTGGACAGTTTAGTGAAGCTCTGATCATCAGTATTATGAACAGCATGTATGAGGAAACAGAGCTATCTGTGTTCTGTTCTTGTTTAGTTTCCCCTTTAAAGAATAAAAACTACCGATCAGACTCCTGTTAAAGTACCGGATCCATGAGCAGGATCTGCAAAGTGGCGGTGCTGTTAGAAGACTCGTGCCGGGGCGCCTACCTTCTCGACAAACGCTGACTTTGAGCACCCCGGTGCCGAGGCAGTCCCCGGCCGGCACACAGAAGCCGGCGTTGGTGGGGTTGTCTTTGGGGTTCATGAGGACGTCGCTCGGGGGGGCGAAGCGGTACGCCTGGATCCCCTTCACCTCCACGTCCTCCACGTAGGCCAGATGAATAGACCTGAGGGAGGACAGGCAGAGCTGCTGTAAGGCTGCAGGAAGTCTGAATGAAGAGCCATCAGGAGGAAGGAGACGGCTGTCAGGCCTAAAAACAGGCTTCATGCACAGAGTGACGTGTTTTGGCTCCAACGCCGGCCTTATCGTACACTGCAATCACTCATGTTCTTATCAGTGGAGTTGGAGAGCATGACTCAGCCGGCGTTTCCTAACATAAACCTCACCGGACGCCGCCGTTCTCGCCTCGCCGCCCGGGACGCTTTGACTGTAAACAAATTTATGGCCATGTGAGAACATGTCCTACCGGCAGAGATCAGCAGCGAAGATGTAGAGCAGCTCGTTCCTGTTGATGAGCGGGTGGAAGACGGCGCCGTCCGTCCCGTTGATCATGTTGCTCTGATTGGACGACCACCACGACATCTCCCTGGTGGTCAGGAGCAAACAGGTGCTGTTAGGGCTGCATGTGCTGGAAGCTCAACCTTTACTCCAGCGCTGCACTTCCTGCTCTGCCGTTCAGCTGAATCGCTGCTCATCTCGTTAAGCCTGAATGCATCAGTTCCCTTCTGATGTAAACACTAAAACTGCTAAAGATCAAACCCCTGATTTCATGTTTACGACACGGTCGCAACAGGGCAGCGAATGAGGATTACTTTCAGTCCATAAATCTGCTCAATGCTTCCTCAATAAAACGATTAATTGACTTGTCTGTGAAATGTCAGAAAACGGTACAAATGTCCGTTAGTTTACCCACAGTGCATCTGCAGCAGGCCCAGAGCTGCAGAGCCTCAGTTCAGGCTTGTGTCTGACAAAGACCAGCTTCAAATCCTACATTCATACGATTATTATAAAGATTAATACTCCGAAAAGAAAAACACTACACACATCTCCAACATATTTACACCTGTTCATGTACCGCTCACATGCATCCAGTGAGCTCTGAGGAGCAGACAGCAGGTTGGAAACTGCAGGATTAAACTACATATGAAAGCAGTTAAGAACAGTCTCAGCCTCCACCAGCTGCAGGAACGTCATTCCCAAACAACCGGTCCAGTCTGGTGCACAGCGTTTGTACTGGAGCATTTCTACGCTGTTGTGTTCAGTCCTGACGTCCTAACGTTCATTTTGCAGTCCTGCTCTATCCAAAGCCAGGGAGCCGAGGCTCTCTCATTCAAGCAAACAGGAAAAAACTGCTTTTCTGTCAGACAGCTGACGGCGTGCAGCAGGAGTCCTCACCTCAGGCCATTCCACGTGTCGATCTTGCCATAGTCCAAGTAGTTCTCCTCGCCGGTGTGGAAAACAAACTCCCCTTCATGTGTGCCGTTTTTCTGTGGAAAACAAGACGAGGTTCAGACTAAGGAGGACGGAGGAAGCGACTGTCAGAAACATGTTCATGTGCTTCGACAAAGGCACAGAAAACGCCGCCCTGTGCTGGCTATGAGCAGAGCACATGACTGAAGGTGGACGTTTTCACACCAGCTGCTGATGTTGTAGAGGCTGGTCTTCATGTTTAAGGCCAAAACTTTTGGACTGTCCACTAATCTGTTAGATATGATCTAGAGAACCAGATCCATCTGAATGTCTCAGTAGTTTAAATGCTGTTTTCTACTTTCTTTAAATTGTTTGTTTTGTAGTTTTATAGAAGCGTTCCACTCTATGTGTGGCTCACAAGAAAACCTGACAACAGTGAAGTTCCTTTTGATCAACTGATCTGACGTTACCCTGAACGCTACGCCTAAAGCGGCTGGTGTTGTGGCCGCTGCAGACGTTGCTATATAAACAGGAAGCATCAGCGTCTTCCATCAGCACGCAGCCAGTCTCACTTCTGCTGCGCCACACTTCCTTCTGTCTGACATCCAGCGGGTCAGAGCGTCCCGTGGTTCTGCACCACAGTAACACCCAGCGCCACTCGCTCACCTTCCACATCAGCCCGAAGTACTCGTCCACGTCGGGCTTCAGGGAGTGCAGCTTTGTGAGGACGGGGTCTTTGAAGCCCCAGAGGATCTCGTGGACGGTGCGGGTCATGAACAGCTCCACGCCAATGCCGTTCATGTACATGGAGACAAAGGTCCTCACGAGGATGGAGTAGGAGCTCAGCTCGTTCATAACCGCCTGGAGGAGAAAGAGAGGAAAGGCTGGAGGGTGAGAAAGCTGCCGCTGTGTTTGGAATACTTCATGTCCTTTCTGTGCTAAAACACTGCATTCGTTTCCACTGGACTGTTTGTCTTGGCCTGAAGCGCACCGAGCGTCCACGTCAGAGACACCAAAATGTCACAACACAAGCTGAGGGACAATGGCTCCGAGTGTGTGAGCGGAACAACAGCACACGAGGAAATAAAAACAGACATAGCAGTCAGATGTGAGGGACTGAGCGGCGCTGCCAGTCGTAATAACTCTCCATCCTGTACAGACACTCTGTCTCACCACATATGGGATGTTGACCGTCCTGATGATGTCCACCTCGGGGTCGCCGGCCGACTTCTCCGGCACAAAGACAAACGTTTTTGGGTTCAGGGCGTAAATCTTGGTGCCGTTCTCCAGGAAGGTGACGTTTTCCCGCGGCCTGTATTCCCTGCAGAGGACGGAACAGTCAGGACACACATCTTTGTTTTCATTTCAAATAAAATCACGATCCCACATGGTTTCCCATAAACAGCGCTATTACCAACAAATACTTCCCTTTTCCATCACTTCTCATGTTTGAGTCCAACGTACCTGTAAGTGTAAGGTCCGATCTGTTTGACAGCTGCCTTCCCGCCTGCCAGGAACACCTCTGGATTGGTGACGTTGAAGAAGTAATACTCCATATAAACAGGTGGAGGCGGATTCTTCCATGACTCAAACACTTGGCTCTTCTCCGTCAGAGTAATTTCCTGCCAATAAAAAGATGTTCAGATTGAGAAACAGCAACAAGGAATGAAATTCCCAAAGTATGACAAGTCTGACTGAGCTCTCTGGTTCCTCTGCTGTATATATATTTGGTGCACTTTGAAAGCTCTTCACTTTTCTGAATGAGTGCCATCTGAGAGCACACACGGCACTGTATCAGCGAGGAGCCGGGTCGGTGTCGGGCCAAGACCCCGAAACACAGCAGGGAAGCCGAGAAAAGTGCCTCAGCGCTGACAGACATCAGCAGATCTCTGCAGAAAACTGCTCTGACTTCAGCAAGTCGAGGCAGGAATGTGAGTGGGCTCCCAGTCGGCCCACACAACTCAGCAGAACACGTTCAGCAGTGACGACAACGCAGCGGCACCACTTCACCACCGGACTGCACGCAGGACGTCAGGTGAAGCTGAGCGTCCAGAATACGCTGAAACCCGGACAGATGTTTGGGTTGTGATCGTGTGGAGGAGAACCAAGGCCAGCAGTCAGTCAGTGTGACACAAGCTCAGCGGCCGCATGTCTGAACACGAGAAACCGTAGCGTAGCTGCAACAGAAAGCTAAAAGAACAGCTCCCAGTGCATCGACTGAAGGTGCTCGTCGACCGGGGAAAGCTCTTTCAATGTATTTTTAAACCTGGGAAAGAAGCCGACCCGCTTCCTCTTGTGCCCTTTTCACGGCGGAGTTCCTGAACACCCTGCGTCCCCCGAGTACACAGCGGTGCACTCCAGAGGCCATACATTGTCCTCCGCGGTCGCTGGCAGCCACTTACTGCTGAGAAAATATAGCTTAAGGCGTGGCGGGCAGTTCCTGTTTGCGTTACGACTTCCAGCATTCAAACGCGTAACGCTCCACGGGATCGCTTTCCGCGTTTTGTTGCACCGTCTCCTCTTAATGAACCCGCATCAGAGGGGTCAGCACCGCATCGACCAGGAGTCAACAAAATAAGAAAAAAAGCTGAGATTGAAAAACACTCCAGCTCAGGAGAAAAGTGGTTCCACATTTTACATCCACAGACCACACTGCCACAGCAAGCAAACACTACAGACAGACTGCCGATGAAAACCCTGCCAGCTTTAAAGCCACACTCCAAGTTGTGACAAGGCCTGCCTCACCTCTGTAGCTCAACCTGTGATACTTTCATCATTAATTAATCATTCAGGCTCTGAAAGTCCAAAAACCGTGAAAATCGCTCCTCATACGATGGAATCATGTGTCCTGTTTAGTGCAACTGCTGAAGATGCTCGATATCAACCAGAACATCCTGACGTCTATCAAACGCTCGTGGCTTTCTGCCGGACGGATCACCACACAGGAGCTCCTCTGGGCAGCCGAGGATCCTTTGCATTGATTTTCATTTCCAATAAACCAGAATTACTGATCATGCACTGGCCTCATCTGGGATTCAGCCCACGAGACCGTCGACGTCCTGTGAAAAGACTGAATAATCAAGTTCAAGTTTGGCGTCACGGCAGCAGAACTACTTGTGCAGAATCAGAGGAGAGCGGCTCAAAAAAAAGAAAAAGGGAACTCGAGGTATTTAAGACGCTGGATTCTCTCGAGTCTCGACGCTTCTGCTTCTTAATTAAGACCCCAAATGAAGCCGGATAATGCAGGGGAAGGGTGTGACCGTCAAGCCAGTGCTCTATTTAAACAAAAACCAGCAGAAACCACTCAGTTTGGCCCCTTTTACAACAAAATGCAACCTCTGTGCCTTTCCGAGCAGGGATGTGTCTCGTCTGGCCTCCACCCTGCAGCGACCTGCATGAATCTCTGTTTGCCAACCTTGAACAAAAGGTCTGTCCAGAAGGCCTCCATCAAAGTTATACACCAACGTCATTTATCTCACAGAACCTTGATCCACCACAAACAAACAGAACAGCTGTGGGACAAAGTGGAGAGAAGTCTGTCACTGCTTTCCTTTCACAAGTTGCTAAAGTGAAGCTGAAGTGAACCGGGCCTGAGGCTTCGGTGTGGTGTGACGAGAGCCTGCTCGAGTTCAAAGCACAAAAACACAGAAACTAAATTAAAAACAAGGGAATTATTTGCCAGTTTCCAGAAGTGCCTGCTGTGCTGAAGACTTTGCAGCTCCGAGCGTGACCTTGTTCTGGAAGGCCGGGCTACGCTACAGCGAGAACTCTGCCAAACAGGCTGAGAGGAGTGGCAGGAGAGGCTGTTTTTCTTTTTCACTTTCGTCATCCGAGCCCAACGTCTGGGGATAGGCCGAGGCTGGAACAACAGCCAGGAATTAGGGAGATTGCTCGCAGGCAGAAGTCGTGCCCTGAGGGACCGAGAAGTCGTCGGATTCCTCACATGACTTTAACGCCGCTTCTGTCCACACCCAAGACAGAACCCGTGTCCTGGAGGTAGCTGGCTCGTCCCAAACTACACCATGATTACAGAAAGCCACCTTCAGAGTCAGATTAGGAGGATTTTTTTGTTGTTGGAGTGGGTTCAGCGTGTCCCCCGGCCAGCCTAATTCAATGGGAAGCCTGTGGCCAAAGAGGATTAGCTATGCTGTCATGTCATGTAATCGCCGGCCACATCAGAACCAGGTCCCCTGTTGATGAACTCTGACTAACTCTCTTAATTTGGGTCCCCTGGGATGCTGCCGGATACCAAATGGAAGGAAAATGAGACCCAGACCTAAATTTAACTGCAGCTGTTTGTGAGCAAAACAGCTTCTTCTGCTCGGCCCGTTTTCCTTCTTTTTAACAGAACTTTACAACAACAACAAAAAAAGGCTGATGTTTTTCTTACAGCGCTGATAAACGGAGCATCCGACAGTGATTCATGTCAGCAGGAGGAATGTGAAGCATTTTAAAGGGCTGAGAGCAGCCAGTGGGTCTGCAGGACGGTGTCAGCTGCCAACCAAACCCCTCCTCCGAACCCACCGGGCCGCAGCTCCACCACTGACCCAAAACTACAACAACAAGCTCACATTCACAGTCCAGAATCCCTCCAGGCCACCGGGTCACAGCACACTGACGAGGCAGCAGCGGTTTGTGCCCAGTTTTAGATTTTACATTTGCACAGTTCTGGTTCGGTCCATCCGGGGCTCATAAACACATGCTGTGTTTTCTACAAACAGCCGACCAGAGATGAAGCTCCACAGAAAGGCCACATCAGGCTTTGACTGAGTGGAGGACTCAGAACGCTGCATGTGGAGCAACGAGCAGCATGTTCAGGACCTGACTGGGTCAGGTACTGCTGGTCTGTCTGGTGGAGGACCCCCACTCACCCACTCTCCCTTCCCCCATTCCTTCAGACCTGCTCACCTCCCCCTACCCCACATTTCTACTACTACTAGCAGCAGAGCAGCAAACCGAGCCCTGCATCAACAGAACTATGTCAGCGGGTCATGCGCAGAGCTGCGGACACGCTGTCAGAGCCTCGCTGCGCTCACCGGGCTGCGGGCCGAACCTCTCCTGCCCGTTGTTCAGTTCGGTCCAGTGAAGCCTGTGATGACTGGTGGCAGCACACAGACGATCCGAACCGAGCGCTACGGTTCGTCACATGGCGAGAAAAACGCACCAAAGCGAACGGTGAGGTCACGACGGATCCGCCGTGGTTTCCCCTCATCTGTGGGAGTCACGGGGGTTTCTACCCACAGCCGGGCGTGTGTCCCGGTCCAAAACCAGCGTGCTGAGGACTTTATGAACAACAGAAAGCTACAAGCCGAAGCTCGCGACCACGTAGCGGGACGTGGACGCCGCACAGCCGCGGGTCGGTGAAGGACCGGGTCTCCCGCAGAGCTGGAGGTCCACAATGTAGCACAACACGTTCACCGCTAAACGGTTCCGATGCACGGACGGACACACACCGGCTGATCTCGTGACCCCGCGTGTTATCAGCGATGCTGCTGCTGAATGCGCATGATTGGCCACTGCGGAGGAGACACGCTCCGAATCCGTCCAGTGGGACAAACGGAACAAATGTGAACCGGTGTCATGTGTTCGGGTGTCCGAACTCACCTTCTTCAGCCGGCTGTGGATCATTGTTTGGAAGACTTGAGCCACGACCAGGGCGATCCCCACGATCAGGAGGTGAGCGCACACGATCCCGGTGGCGTAAATGGCACAGGATCTCCGAGTCATGGTGCCGGGCGTGTTGGGCTGTCCTCTGGGCCGAGCACGAACTTCACTGAAGTCAATGATAACTTCCAAAAAACCTGTTTAACTGAAGGTGGAGGAGCGACGAACCTCCGTCCTCCGGAGCAGCAGCTGGGCTTTAAACTTGTCTCCTCAGGTCGGTCTCGGTCCCGGTCCCGGTCCCGGTGGGTCTGACTGCTGCTGGCACGTCTTTGGTTTAAATAGTAATAAAAGGAAAACAACGGAACACTCGGTGATGTTTGGACCTGGAGCCCAGAGAGGAGGGACCGAGCTGCTCGGAGGCGGAGGAGAAATGAAACGGCGGCTCTCAGCACATCGGGACGTAGCTCCCCCCCTCACCCCCCCTCACCCCTCCTCCTCCCCCTCACCCCTCCCCCCTCTACGCATTAACGAGGCCGTTCGGGCGGAACGCGCCGTTTGGGTCTGCATGGGCGGTGGGTGTGTTCGGACAGAGAGGCCGTGGTGGTGCTGTTCTGATGTCACCTTTAACACATGCATGTACATAAATGTACACTCTAATGGACCGGGTCGGGGTTTCACATGTTTCTGCACTTCTACGGTGCATCCGGGTCCGGGCGGATCCACAGAGGTTCGTGTGAGCTGAGCTGCACCTCAGCGGCATGTTGGACACACACACGAGTTTATGAATGAATTAGCAGCAGCGCGCTCATCCGCGTGCACACCGGTGCTCGTGCTTCACCTGCAGACCTGCTCTAACGGAGCTGGTGTTTGGGGACCGTTCACGGTTCTTTTTATTATCACCACCAGAACTCCTCCAGAACTGAGCCGCCACGCGCAGGAATGCGCCGCCTGCAGGGACCCGGTGCCTTTATAGGGAAGCCGCCACCTCGCCTCATCGTGACTCCTTAAATAAGCGCCGCGTGCGCATGAATAATGTGGCGTTCGGGCGACCAACGATCGTTGACGCGAGCCCTTTGTCCGACCAGCACGCGCGCTGATTGGCCGCGAGCCTCCCGGACCACCGTCTCGAGACCACCCCCTCTGCGCGCGGATTGGTCGGTGGCCGGTGAGTGCGATGCTGAATTTCATCGACTGATTTCGGGGCGGAGCCGCCATAAAGGGGGAACCGGGCGGCGGGGACGCGCCGCGATGCTCCGCCGGATCGTCGGGCTGCCGAGCGGCTCGCTGCGGGCCGAGCCGCCGGAGGACGGTGGAGCTGCAGCGGAGGAGCAGCGGCAGGATGTGCGGCCTGCACGGAGCTCAGAGGAAACACTGAGACACTAAGTCAGTGATGAGCTGGAGAGAAGGAGCTGCAGCTCACAAACAGCTGATTGATCTTTACAGAGGATTTACAGCTGAGTTGTAGTTAAATGTGCACCATGCTCCCTCATTACAGCTAAAAACTCTTTAGAGGAGAATTCTGCTGAAGCTCAGATCCATGCAGCTCTAAAATGAACCAGTTTTAGTGTCATTTTACAGATTTTTCCCTGTTGGGTTGAACTACAGCCTCAGTAAACAGAAGAACTCAGATGAGGAAGATGTGGTGCTGATGATGAAACTGAGTTGTAGTAAAAAGGACGCTGCAGCTCCACAGAAACACTCATGATTTATCTTTACATTGTGTTCAGAATGACCGAGGACAAATAAAAGCATAATTTAGAGCTGAATCCTACCTCGAGATGTCTAATGCCTCTGGTACGATGAGAAAAATGAAAGTTTTATGTGTAATCTTTAAACAATTTACTGCTTTTATCCAGATGTTCTGTTGAAGTACAGATCACAACCAGTGAAATCACAGTAAAACGTATTAATTCACATTTTAATGTTAAAAAAGGTCAAAGTTGTGAATAAAAACCAGCATTATTGCAAATAAAAGAAATCGTTCTTCTACATCTGATTGTAAGATGACACTTTCTCATTGACTGTAAGTCAACAAAACAAATGTTATTTTAAATTGTCTGTGTTAAGGACTGAAACACGGAAAATCATTTTAACAATAGTTCATAACAAATGTTCACTGGTTTGTTGAATCAGACGACATGTAGACATCACATCGACTTAAAGAAAACATCTGTCCATCAGAAATACGTTCTTTTACGATGTGTGACTGTCAGACTATAATGATTTACTGTAATTAGCAGAACAGTGTGATTAATGTCCAGGTGTCTGCTGTCATTCTCACCATTCTACAGTTTATTTTACAGCAACATTAATGTTAATCCAAGTTCAGACTTTAAAAACGCAGATTTTCCAGCTGACACTAATAAAACGAGGCCTATAAAGTAATGATGTGTTTTTTGGAAATGTCCTGGCTATATTTAGTGTGTGACTGCTCATAATTGCCCCGGCAGACGACGAGGTGCAGCTTTACTGTAATACCCTGTTTACCCTGTGATTCACCGCGAGCATCTTCTTGAGCAGAAAAGCAGCGCGACCGTTTGCTTGCATCACTAAAGTGAAGCAGCTTTAAACAGGAGCTGGTGAAGCAGCGTTTCACTAAAGGCCCGACAGCCTGTTCTGACTGATGACGTCCACACCAACAACTTCTCTCATTCTACAGAGAGCGACTTCCTGTTTTGTGCTTCCCCTGATCTGCTGGTCTGAGGTGTGCAAGGCCCACAGCGGCCGCCATGAAGCAACATTTGAATTAATACCAGATGATTCTGTGAAGTCAGTGTGATTCAGTTCTTGTCAGACTACACCCACAGAGTTCTGATGAAAGAGGCTGGATCCAATCTGGGGTGTTGGAACTATTGATAAATAACAGTTGTGAAACTGGAGAAGCCTCTTGGATGAAAGGTCAGATATCTCCAAGAATCTAAAAGAGATCATCCATCCATCTATCCATCCATCCATCATCTCTACACCTTAATCCTCACTATGGGGGGCGGAGTCTATCCCAGCTGACTCAGGGTGAAGGCAGGTTCACCTGGACAGGTAACCAGTCTATCACAGGGCTACACTTAGAGACAGACAACCAAGCACACTCACATTCACACCTACGGACAATTTACAATCACCAATTAACCTCAGCATGTTTCTGGACTGTGGGAGGAAGCCGGAGAACCCGATGGTGCTAACCACTGATCCACCTGCAGCCCTCAGACTGGATGACACTGAGCTGTTGGAACTATTGATAAATATTAACTGAAACTGGAGAAGTGAAGAAAGTTTCTATATTTTAGTTTTTTGCACTGAGAGGCCTGCGCCTTACCTTTCGTTGTACTCGTTACAGTGACAATAAAACGAATCTGAATCTGAAGAAGCCTCAAACGTCTTCAAGAACCTGAAAGAGAAGCGACTGGGGGACAGCTGAAGGCCTAACTGTGATTACTGGTTATTCACTGCTGCAAAGGCATATGTAGGATTTGACACCAGGTTTCCAGCTGCTTTAAAGTGCAGAAAAAAACAGCCATTGAATGGGTTTGCTTTAAGAGAACAGAACCTGCATCTTTGGTTTTATTTGATGGTTTTGTTCGACCTGATTCTTTGGTTGGAAGCCCAAGAACAAGCCGGAGAAATCTTCAGTTCACAGATGTAGAATTTATTCAGGTCACAGGTGGGTTCAGAGGGACAGAGGAATCTCACGTCCAGCCGAACTGAGTTTTTCTGGTTCCAGGTTCCAGATATCTTCTTGGGCCGGGCCTGCCCCGGACATAGATAAGACTCGTACGCTACTGAGTGTAACTGGCCCGTTACTGATGGCGTGGACAGCCATACCTGTTCTGAACTCTGTCCACGTCCTTGAAATGTGGTGAGCAGTATGTGTGGATGTTGCTGGTGCGGCGTGTAGCTAAAGCAACAATCGAACCTGATAGAACAGAGGAGCTTCTGCTGTCTCCAGGTGTGTGACCGGGTTCTCACCGGACATGTTCAAGGACGTATGCTGTTCCAGTGAAAAAACCAAAACAGAGTCATCGGCTCAGTGCAAAATACAGATTCAGAACACATAACAGCTCGAAACATACGTCATGATAACAGCTTCACCTGCAGAATGCTGCTGACATGACCACATACGGCACTTTGTTTGTGGTCTTTCAGTCGGAGCTAAGCCCAGTCCAACACACTTTCATTTAGGAAGTACTACAGAGAAAGTAGAGCCATGACCAAAGTAGCACCACAGATGATGATGATGCTTGAAGTGACAAACCAGAAGGCAAACATGGGTGTTGGCTGCTCATCCAGACTGAAATGTAACGCCGACATTTTAAAACTAAAACAGCAGCAACTCCAAAAGCCCGACGTAAAAGTCAAAGAAGTCGTGTTCTTTAAAATAAAACCCTGTTGAAGGTGTTTCTGTGTCCATCAGCTCATCATGTGCAGCTATCATGGAAAACACAGATGTGGTTTTTAAATGAATGATAGAGCTCGTTAGCGACTCTGTAGATGAGTGATGAACAAACAGACATGTTTTCATCTGTGGTACTTCAGGGGCAGCGGCCACGGTGCAGATCCTCAATGCGTAAAGAAAAACCAGCGAGACGGTCGTTCTGCAGCTCAAACAATCCGTTTGTTTGGGTGCAGCTCTGCAGAAGATGGCTGCTGGTTGGACGGTTTGTCCAGAGCTGTGGTCCAGTTCAAAGCAGATTGTTAAGTTTTCAGTATGCATTAGTCCTAGAAGAAGCAGGAGCACGAGCACAGAGATGCTCACTATGGCAGCGGCAGGAGTACGAAAAGTGGAAGAAATAAACTGGTCAGTCTGGTGTCACTGCTCAGGCTGTCGTGAACAAGTGGCCAGACGTCCAGTGGAACATTAACCTGACTGCAGCCTTTGTGGTCTAATGCCAGCTGAGTTAAAGCTGTTTCACACCAGCTACACGCCTCAGAGGGAAGCTCACAGAAACTCTGGTAGAATCTGGTCCAAACGTGATCAGAGAAGGTCAAGGGGGACGTTTCTCCTGGATTCTTCGATGCCTTTTGGATTCTGCGGCACTCGGAGCATGTAACCGGTGCGAGGCTGAAACAGGATACTGGCTCGCCACCGTCCTTATTTACAGACAACGCCAGCTGCTTGTCTCAGGAGCAGACTTTTACCAAGAATCCTAGCCAACGAGATGCCAGTTCAGGCACCAGGTTACCTCATGAGACGAGAAGGCCGGCTAAATCAGCCTCAGCTCGACCGCTCATTCACAGATTCATCCCTCTGGTCACAACTCTTTCTGCAGTCAGCCTCGTGAGAGCCATCCAGTCTCAGGATCCTCGTCTTTATTTGGGGTTTGTTTGGCGGCCAACAGGTTGGGACTCATTCTGTTCCAGAGTGCTGCACGGGCAGTAATGGACGGACCGAAGGGTGAGCACGGTCATGCAGCCGCCGCTTTCATAATCCATT